ATTTACAGAGAAAAATGATACAATTTCCTCTTGGGAGATCTTCTGAGAACAATTTAGACAAACGCCCATTTGTCTTCTTTCTTTAAAGGCATAGAATCTCCTACTTAGTGGAAGTTTCCTCATTTTTGCTACCATCTGTTTCCTTAATTCAGAATACTTGGGAACATATGTAGCTAAAACTCATGACTCCCAGGTTTTCATCTCATTTGTTATTTTGCAAAACCTAGGCACAGGGCCGCACAAGGCAAGCACATAATTTAACTAAGGATAAGTACTGTAGAATGTAACTGGGTGGAGTGGGTGAGAACATTTTTCCTTGCCCTGAGGAAAGTTAAACTCATTAGACTATATGCAGAATAAAGCTTTAGAAGAGGGTTTCCATTCTCATTTCTACTGTATATGGAAACTTGGGGCTCCACTTGTCTGGTATTCAACAACAGCTTAAATAAATGTACTGTGAGCTTCAAAAAGGTTCAGGACTGTCTGAGGCTCTGCAATGCTGTGCTAGGTTGCTATCTGTTACTTGTACAGGTAGTCCTCTACTTACAACAGTTTGCTTAGTAACCATTTGAAGTTACAGCGGCACTGAAAAAAGTCACTTATGGCCATTTTTCACATTTATGACCATTGCAGCATGCCCATGGTCAGGTGATTTACATTCAGATGCTTGACAACTCACTCAGTGTCCAGGGGTCATGTGAACACTTTTTGCAACCTACTGACAAGTAAAATCAATGGGAAAACCAAATTCATTTAACAACCATGTTACTAATTTAACCACTGCAGCCATTCACTTAACAAGTATGGCAAAACAAGTATGGCAAAACTTACTTAACAAATGTCTCACTTAGCAACATAAAGTTTGGGCTCAATTGTAGTTGTAAATTGAGGACTACCTGTAATCTGTTATGGTGCAAATATCAGAGTTGTTCATTCTATCATCCCCAGAGCTAACAAAGTGTGCTCCCTACTGGTAATTAATGTTTGCTTTCTCTGGCAGTTTTTCCTAAACTGGACCATCTAGATATTTTGAATCTCTCTTTGTAGACAGCCCAACCAGCATAATGCAGCAATACAGATTGTCAAGTTACAACCATTCAGTTACAACAGCGCTGAAGAAGGGGGAACTTACAACCGGCCCATGGAATTTTAACTAGTGTCCTCATGGTCATGTGATTGCAATCCAGATACTCAGTGCTGGGTTATGATTATGTCACAGTGAGATGGTCACATGATCACTATTTTCAACATGCATTGCCACCTTCCTACAAGCAATGTCAATGGGAAAACTGAAGTTGTTCCAGTTCCTTTTCACCCGTCCATGGCATCCCATCCCTGTGGACCAGTGCACCTAACCGTGACATCTCCCAGGCTTCTTCCTGAGACAACTGCCTCTTCCCACTTAACAACCATATCATCCTGGGTTTACAAGATTGCTGTCACTAAGCAATGTGGTCATGTGATGCACCATTTAGTGACAGAAACTCAGGTCCCAATTCATTCATCACATTTCTTTATCAACCATCTCACTTAAGTTACCTTTTTAAAGTAAGTAAAGTGAGGAACATTTTTTCACTTTTGCTTGGGGGTGAGTAGGAAGGTGATATGCCAGCAGAGCCAAGTTAGGCATTTTCTCATCTAATAGGATTGGGGAGCATTCTGGCTCAAAACTTGGAGAGATGCCCATACGGATAGTTCTTGTTTATAGTACAATTGGGATCTACAAAATTCATTAAGTAAAGTTTTGCTAAGTGAAACTGGCTTACATCACCTTTTCTTTGCTTTATAGACCTGTGAAGGTTGTAAATGCAAGGATTAGTTGCAAAATCCCTTTTTAATCAAGGTCATAACTGTGAAGTGTCGCTAAATGAAGAAAGTCACTAAATAAGGTCACTAAATGAAGTCACTATCTGCAGTCATAGACAACAGAGAATTTTAAAAAGCATCACCTATCCCTTGTTCTCATTGTTTTTGACACCAATAAACTATGATTAAACTGAATTGGCATAAGTTTTCAGATTTCAGAGGCAGGATTTGTTGGGTTGAAAAACTTTTCCAACCTGTTCACAATAAAGGACACTGTAAATTAACTCTTTCTCTGCATATTTTTCAATTCACAGAAAAAGACATGGTGATATAATAGGATGGAAAGCAGCTCACAGTTACGGTATATACCTAGTTCTGTTTTAGATGGTTTTCTATTGACCAAATTAAAGTAGACATGGAAAACCAACATAATAAACACTGTATATCTTATAGTCATTTTGATTAAAGGAAAAAAATCAAGTTAAAACTCATAGATTAACCAGGATTAAATATCAGAGAGAAAAAAATCAAACGCTTTCCACCCTCCAAGGGTAAAACAGCTGCAATGATACACAGTGGGGAAAAACCAATAACACTTGAATAGTTCCAATTCAAGCAAGAGAGGGAGGAAAAAAGCCTTTCTTGCTCAAAACCAACAGGCAGTATATTTCCAGCTTTTCTCAGTTCTAAAGAAAACCAAGTAAATTATACTGAGTCCCTTGCACCAAAAGAAGCTATCCTCCTATAGGAATACTAGCTGTTACAGTCCAGTGGTGCTCTATGTACTAACAAAGCATTCTCTTTGGCCTATTTTGGCACATATTATCTGCATAGATACACTGTTTCGTGTTTGTGCAGCCAAATCAAAAATTGGAAAGCTTGACAATTCATTGCTTTTTGTTTAAAAAAAAAACAAATGAGAAACTCATTCTGTGAAGCAACAGCATCCTCTAGTGGCATAATAGGTACAGCAGGAGAAGTTTTCCCTCCCAAATCCAAATACAATTCCTGGCTATCTAGAAAAACGATGGTTTAAGTGTAGTTAGTACTGTAGTTGACTGAAAAACTTCCAGGGAGTACCAGGACTGTAGATGAGACTGGGAAGTTTAAAAACCAAAACCAAAGGCAGCAACAAGAAGTCACTTATGCTTTGTTGCCGAAAAACCTAGATGAAATTATTAAGATGGAGCAACACATTAATATTTATAAAATGCTTCTTAAATCTACTCAAGTTAATATCTAAGTTTTAATTAGAATAATTTAATATTAAAGAGGCAGCATTTCATACTATATAAAGTCAATACCTCAATAATATTGAATAACTATTACATGATATTTGAATTTCAGTAATTTATTTTGAAAGAATATGGAAAGTCTAGTTCTATTGAATACGGGGCATTATGACTGCAACTTTCAAAACTGGTCAGAGTATCCAGTGTAGTTGTAGTCTCACTCATCAGAATGGTGCCAAGATGTATTTGGTTAGTTATGACATGTAAAATTTATGCAAAAATATGTAACACGTTGAACCATGAGGCTATTTATCGTGATATTTTCCCTCCAAAAAAACCAAGATTAAGTAAACCAGTAATTAACAAACTATAACCACAGCCAAAACCAGTTATGCTGTTTATATTCTAGAGGCAGGAGGAAAACTGGGCTATTATACAAGTAAATTTAAGAAAGCACAGGATGAGGTCCTCCTTCTCCTTAAGCTAAGGAAGGACATGTTTATGTACTCAAGAGACTGAGTCTAGAGAATTTTTCTAGCTTCTAAAGGCCATGTGACTGTATCATAGGAAGAGTTGACTCCAAAATTTGATAAGTGGCAATTTACTGAAAGTACAAACTACCTACCTTTGCAGCCTTTTTCCTTAGAAACAATCTTTCTCCCCCCCCAGGTTTGGCTGTATGAACTAGGGGGAAGACTGCTTTGGGGGTCACCACAAAAGGGCTGATGGGGCATGTGCTATCTGACCCTTTTGCTCTAAGCTTTTGTAACAATTAGCATAACCAAACTTCCAGTCTGCAGCAATTTTTCCACAAATAGTCCTTGACCCATGACTACTTATTTAATCACCACTTCAAGTTATTACATAGCCGAAAAAAGTGACATATGGCCAGTCCCCACAGTCACCTGATCAAAATTTGGGTGCTTGGTGACTGTCATGTATTTATTATGGTTGCAGCATCCTAGGGTCACATGATCGCCATTTACTACCTTCCCAGGTGGCTTCCCTTAAACAAAGTAAATGGGGATAGCCAGATTTGTTTAACAATCATGTGACTTGCTTAACATCCATGGCAAAAAGGATCAGAAAATCAGGCATGACTCACTTAACAAATGTACTCCTTAGCAGCAGAGGTTCCAGTCCCAATTGTGGTCATATGTCTAGGGCTACCTGTAGATCCTGAATCAGGGTGTCTTTGCAGAATTAAGGAATTTTCCTAGTGCTATTTTTCTTATGTTGCACATTTTTCTTAGGAAGATGACTATCATTTATGAAAAGAATCTTAATCATTTTAGCTAGGAATGGTGAAATTAAGCAACTAAACACAAAATAATACTAAGAGTAATTGAAAAATTCTTAGCAAAATGGTTATCATCAAATACTTCTCAGCAGCAGTCCAGCCAGCTTTAAAACTGCACAATATCTTAAATAGAGGACTGTAGAAGGTAGATGCCTATAGTTAGCAAACTTGAACCTATTCAATTTACCATTGTATGCTGTTTTTTTAAGTTCCTCCCTATTCACAAGGAGGAGGCTGATTTTTTCCTACTCTCTCCACTCATTCATTATCTCATGGTCGAGGATAGCAACAACTTGCACTAGGAATGTGTGTATTTTCTAGAATTGGATGACAATGAACTAAACAAGATTTCCATCTCAACAGATTTAGATCTACTTTCAAACCCAATAGGTGGGCTGATTTGGGGCTTGTCAGCTAATAGCTATGTCTTCTCTCAAGTTTAGCACTTTAAAAAAATCAGTGCCTGTTACATTGACAGTATCAAAAGGCATGATAGCAAAGACAAACAAGAATGCATGCTATGCATTTCCAAAACCAGACCTATTTGTCTGCTCCTGCTATGTACATATAACCCAACTTTCTGTGTAACATGAAATACTAAATTCAGCATTACAATCTTGGAATTTTTTTCTTACTTTAAAATAAATTCAACAATACAGACATTAGAAGGTACCATCAGGCTTCCTTTAATGATCAATTTTACTGAGGAATGAAGATGCCCAACTGAAGTTTGCATTTAATCTAGTTCTATGGGCCATTACTTATACAGCAGCCGACTTTTATAGACAAATTATCTCCCAAACCTCCCAGAATTTACTGGAAATCCCTTTACATTAAACCAAATTACTTCAGTAATAGAGCATACAAAAGAAGAAATCTACTGTTGCTTGGCAAAGAAAAGCTTGCTGTCTTTCACAGTGGGCTTGATGGTGTCACCGCCAGGTTGCCAGCCAGCTGGGCACACTGTAGCAAGAACAGGAGCAAATGTTAGAGCAGAAGACTATATTGAAATAGGGATTTTTCAAGACAACAAAGGGAGCAAATCTGAATAGCAAGGCTAGCTCTTTATTTCTGTTAACAAGAGATGAAACCAGTTAGTTGAATTAACAACAGAAAGGCACCCAAGCTAGTTCATAACATGGGTGTATATGTGCATGCACATTATTTAGAATTTCTACAAAAGACAGCATTCCCCAAAACTCAGTATTTTCTGCTATAATATACTGCATTTGCATGAAACAATGATGTTGAGCCTTATTTTATCTGTCATTCACTGAAAAAATTAAAAATTGTTACTTTTGTGTTTTTTTTTACCTTCTTGGTATGGTTTAAGATGGGTATAATGTAGTTTAGAAGACATAATCAGCAAGGATTATAAAATATTTTGGAAATTAACAATTTGCAATAGCAGAAATGGCTAAATAAAGTAGGATGACTTCATGCTATCCGGGAACCGTTTACCCTTTGGGCAAACAAAGAATTCAACCTGTGTTCCTGGTGCATACAATGTTAAGCAAGCCATGGAAGAAGCAGGATTGCGTGGCTATCCAAACACAACTTCATAACATTTTAGTATTTAATGGTATTTAATGTACTCAGGCAATTAAGTTAAGGCAATTTGTTCTTGCCTCTGAGGGTAAGGATGTATTATATATGTGCAGTTTTAAGACCCTCTGCACTCCCCTTCCAGTTTGGATCTAGAAACTCCTATTCTGGCTTCAGAATATGCATGTCTGCCTGGGAAGGCAAATGCATAATGCTCCTTTACTGGCTTAATTACCAATAGTTATTTGACTACAAGTTGTTCCTTTTATGAAATGTTTTGGACAATGATCTACACTCTAGATATTTGGTCCTAAATTAGAGGACTCAAAAGGACAACTAGCTATTTCTCTACATGCAAGCTAATTCCACAAGTTGAGATTGTTACATCAGATCAAAGTAATTTCATGTTCATTCTTGAAACTGTCTTCAAGACACAGCATGACAACTGAAAAGATACCAAGCTGATGTTCCAGTTTGCTCTGGGAAAAAATTATTAAGAGTGTTGCTAACTGTATCTTAGGAATTCTACATACATTAAAAGGCTCTACTGAAGAGGTTCGCTATTTGGCATGGGTATAAAACATTAATTACTTTCTGAAACAGTGTCAGCAACTATCTACCTGGTTACTTACAGGACGTCTCTCCCTGATTTAGGAGAGGCATGCTCTGGGTGTCATCAGCTAAGGAGTGTCAGCCGTGGGGCAGAGAGAGAGAGAGCCTTTTCTGCAGTGGTGCCTACTCTTTGGAACAGTAGTCCCTCTGAGATTAGATTAACCGTATCCTTGCTGACTTTCCACAAAGCCCTGAAAACTTGGTTTAGTTTAGTGCCTGAACCCAGCACCCTGGATGCGTGACTGAGCTTGTCTCCTTGCTACATTAGTGATTTTTTTAAAATGACACGTTGATGCTATGTCTTCCATTGTTTTATACTACTGGTATGTATTTTACCTAATTTATTTTCAGCCATCTAGAATCACATATGTGAGGTAAATGCTACATAAATGCTAAATTGTTTGAAAACTACTATGCAATCTCCACTGTCTCTCTCTCAGACCCATCATTGCATCCTAAAGAGAAACAAGGCACAATGAACCAATCTTAAATTGATCATCTTTCCCAGAACACTACTGCTACATCTTTCTATGTCCATTTCATTATCCCAGGATCTGTCACTCACCTTCACCATGCTGGTCTGTGAATTGGAAGGCTTGAACCAGGCGCAATGTCTCATCCACAGAACGTCCCACAGGTAGATCGTTGATTGTGATCTGTCGCAGGATGCCTTTATCATCTATTATGAACAGACCTCTGAGGGAGAAAAGGTGCAATACTAACTGCAAGCATTATCATTTTAAAAGTTACAGGCCATGGGAATCTATTAGAGCCTTATACTTATCAATCAATAGGACATAGGGCCAGGATCAACCATGAACTGGGCATTTTGAATTTTTGCATATGCAGCCTTCTCAATTTAAAGAGCTAGAAAAAAAGTTAATGCAAAGACAGAGAGATCCAGTAAACTCTATGAACCACAGGCATTCTTTTAACTTGTAAAGGCTCCAGGTCTGCATTTGCTAAGAACTGGATTACTATAGCTTTCCTATAAGTACTTGACCAATATGTTGTTGTTTGAGCAACATGGATTAGTTAGACATAGCTAATAAACAGAATATATGTTAGTCCCATGACATCCTGGTTACTCTGCTTACATCACTAGGAACATATGCTAACTGGGACTATATCAGCTAAGCTACCAAGATGTCCATCACCTACAACAGGTTTTTCCAAACTCCTTTAGAACTAACTTTCCATACCTGTATGCAATGCCATCCTCTTCCTTGAGCACACCGTAATCCTTACAAATGTTATGATTGATGTCTGCCACAAGTGGGATATTTGTCGAACCCAAGCCACCATCCTTTCTTGCTGTATTTGTCCTACAGGGAAAAAAATTAATATCCACAATACTACTGTTTTAATGAACTGAAACTCACTACACTGAAATCATTTATATTTTAGAAATTATTAAATTAACTAGCAACTTTAATCATATAAAATATTTTCCTAACTTTTTGGTCCTAAACTAAGCACAAAACTTTGTGAAACTGTGTCTGAAAAATGGGTAGACCATTTTTCTCCTCACTAAAAAAATGGATTTTCCAGAGAGACATTTCATTTATAGTTGACTTTGCTAGTCCAAGGAAGTGCATACAGTTCTCTCATCCATTTCAGGTGTCCGGCGTTAATTGTACAACCAGCTTATGTCAGCTAGTGAGCCAGCTGATAAACCCCTAACCAACAACCAAATTTTGCTAGATAAAATTGGTGAAGACCTCCACACCCATCTGTCAGTTAAGATCTGCCAAGTGCTTCTCAGCACTATAACTGCAAGCAGTTCTTGTGACTGGCATATCTGTTGTACCTTCTGCCCGAGTATGACTAGAATATTTCCAGTTCCTAGGGCAAGAACGAAGCCTGACAAAAGATCTCCATATATCAGCAAGATACAGGCCAAGGTACACTTCTTAGAAAGCATAATTATTCCTTTTTGTCAGTGTCCTATTATTAGCCAGCTTTTAATATGCACCTCTGGAACTAGTTTTCCAGCACAACGACCTCTATGAGTAATTATATACTAGGAGTCTCACCAAGCCAAATGAGTAAACTGAGAGTCGACAGAAGCAGCAATAACCTCACAATTAATCTTGCGGAATTCCTCAACTCGATCGTTGAAAGCTACGATCTCAGTGGGACAGACAAAGGTAAAATCCAGTGGGTAGAAGAACAGAACCACATATTTGCCTATATGGAAGAAATAGGCATCAGTAAAACAATCACAATCAAGAGTCCCAGAACCTTTGCACTTCCAGTCTTTTGGACAGTATCCCTATTAAAGTTTATAAATGGAGCAAAATTTAGAGTCACTAGAAGAGAATGCTCATAAGGTGGTTGCATCTTACCCAGGTCAAATCAGGACTTTTCCTCCAGTTACAAAATATTTATCTATGCACATTTATTTGTATTTATACCGTCATTATTTTTATAAATAACTCAAGACAGTGAACATACACAAAACTCCTTCCTATTTTTCTAATGAACTATCAGCTACTTCTTCTTTGGCTTTTGTGGGGAGGGTGGTGCCTTCGAGTCAGTTTTCAACTCATGGCAACTGCCTAGATAACTCCCTACAGTTTTCTTAGCAAGATTTTTCAGGGGAGCTTTGCCACTGCCTCCTTCCTATGGCTGATAGAGTGGCAGGCCCAAGGTCACCCAGCTGGCTTTGGGGCCAAGGGAACACTGGAACCCCTGGTTCCCTAGTTTATAGCCTGATGCTTAACCACTACACTAAATTGGCTGACCATTAGACTCACTGATAATATATTACATTTTACACTAAGTATGATGATATTTAACTACAAATGTATCCTGGATTGGAGACTTTCATGATGTTTGTGCATATGAAGTTACCCTTGAAGAGCAGTTGGAAGCTTTAACTGGAGTGCAGTGGTGTGGGCAGTCTTTGAGGCCCCTAGAGTGGCCCATGATACACCACTGTTCCAAGAGCTGCACTGGATGCCCATTTGCTTCCAGGTACAATTCAAGATATTAGTTATTACCTATAAAGCCTTGCACGGTATGGGTCCAGCTTACTTGAGGAACCATTTGACCCCTATGGGAGAAGCCCCCTGTACCCATATTGGCAGAGGTGGTATGCCATGAGTCCCATCAAGGAATTCCAGATGGTGGGATCCAGGAGAAGCACCTTCTTTGCCATGGCCTTTGCTCTTTGGAATACGATGCTCCCTGAGGTGATATTGGCTGCTACCCTCCTGACTTTCCACAAGAACATATAGATCTGGCTTTGCCAGTTGGCTTGAGGCCTCAATAGGGGAATATCACACTGGCGGTGGTTGACTGACTTAATAGCAGTTCCCACTACCCCCCCCCTCCCGCTGTATAGTCTGCTGCCTTCTTCCATATCTTTAGTTATAACTTGTATTTTATTGCAATTTTAATGTGATTTTGTATGTTTATAAATGTATAAAATGTATAAATAAAATGTGATTATACATGGCACACATTATACAATATTTTACAATATCATACGATATTTTAATATTGTAAGCCACCTAGAGTTTCCTTGCAGTGAGATGGACAGCAAACAAGTTTAATAAATAAAACGTGAAAGCATATGCATTTGCTTTATAATTACCAAAGATGCCACATTGCTAAAGTGGATTCATAAAGCAGTCTAATTGGAAAATATATCTTAGCCTTCCCATAAAGTCTAGACAGCTTAGAATACTAAGGAATCCCATGGATGCACAATTAAAAACCTAATAGAAGCTACAGTGCCTTACCTCTGTAGTCTGATAACTTTATATCCTTGATGTTGCCATCCACCACTGCTGTAGCACGAAAATCTGGAACTGGTTTTCCAATATATGCTTTACCAGAGGCCATTTCCTAAAATATCAGAACAATAATGTATGCCTTAAAGTTGGCAAGTGCACCACTTCTCAGGAATGATACTGTCTGATTCAGAGTACTGTCTAATTGCCTTTTGATGATTTAAAAAGTGTCAACACTATTTTGGCCTTTAACTTTCCCATTTTCTCACAACTTTTACCCAATTAGAGCCCGTAAACTCAGAGAAAGAGCAAAGTCTACCAATCCAGCATAATGCTCTATTCAAAGCCCTAGTCACAGGAATTGGTTCAATAGAATGGTATTAATAATGCTTTTAAATCCACAGCAAACCCCGAGGCATGGAGGAGAGGCTGTCCTCTTTTGAGGAAGAATGTGCTGCATTTCCTAGTTCAGATGCCTCCTTCATCTTGCTAACTATAGAAAGAAAAAGTATGGTGGAAAGGAACGGCTCCCAAGCCATTATTAACTAGATTTCCAACCTGAAATGTTGACCTGAAAGGTATGTTTGTAATATCCCAGAAATGTCTACTTTATTTTGACAATAGTTTCCATCAGGCAAAAAAGCAACTTGGGGGCCTTTAAAAGCAGCCAAATCATCTGGTACATATTTAATTGTTAGAACATGCTTAAGCTGAAAATACTCACTGTTGGAAACTGGTAAGACCAAATTGAATTTGAGTGAATTTGAAAAATTCCTAAAAATGATTTACCACCAATTTTCAATTTATAAATTTATGAAACTCAAATTATGTCCAATACAGTCCAAAGATTTCTCACTACTCCTACTATTGGTAATAAAATCTTTTCTTGCTCTATGTTGTTCTAACCACTTGCCATGATCTCAAAACTAGATAATCTTCCAACTTAGTCCATAAAAGAAAATATTCCATTATATTTTCATTTCACCAGCAGGTGGCTGATAAATTAGTGGTACTTTTACATAGCATATAAATTAAAACCACCTTCCTCAAATGATAATCTCACTTTAGCTAAGAAAAACCTTGGTGGTCCATTTCCCAAATACATTTCCTAAATAGGTTTTCAATATATTTATTAAAATGTAGAAATACCTATAAGAATATAAATAAAATAAAGGACAATTTTTATAAGGCTAATTTTGATCCACAGGCTTAAAGGAATTTTATGCTATTTATTACGGTAACATCCACTACAACCGGGCGAACCAGTAGTAAAAAAAGCTACCAGTTCCTCGGAACCAGTATTTCCGACGATCAGCTGTGCCGCGCGATTTAAAATTGCTAGAAAGCAGGAAATCCTGCTTTCTAGTGAATCTAAATTGCACGGCACAGCTGTCCCCTCCCTTGCTATTCTACTTACCTTCCCAAGTCTCCTTTTTCCATGTGAAGCATGAATTTGGCACGCACTGTGCATAGTGAACCGGTGGCAAACCTGGGAAGATTTCACCACTGACTTCAACCCTTAATAATAATGTTCATTATATTTCTACATATTTAGAAATACACCTTTGGGTTTATACAGCCCCAAATGTGTCAGTAGAAATCACAAATCCCATTTCTTTACATAACTCTATTTATGTAGATTTATTCCAATTAGAACCAAAATACTTTCTAAATTACTCTACAACCTTTATAAAATTAGACAAAGTAGAATACTGATCCAAAATTCCTTAAATATCACCAGTATACAAAAAGAAATTATATTCTCATCCTTCCAATGTAATACCCTTATACCCTAAAGATTGCCTTAGATGGTGGCGAAAAGTTCAAGAATCAAATTAAACAAGGCAGAAAGTGAGCAGCCCTCCCATGTATCACACTATAAAAAAAGAGTCTAAGATAATTCAATTTCTTAACTCTGGCAGAAGGTTACAAATAGTAATCTCAATCCACTGAACAAAACCCTGTGGAAAGCCATATCTAATCATCACTTGCTTTAAGAACTTAACCTGGACTAAATCATTTTCTGCATCACAATTCTTTGAAACAGAGTATTTGGGGCATATGGATGACACAACCTAGGTAGTAGATCTTCAACCTAGATAGAAGATAAAGCTAAGCAGCTTCCAGAAAACCAACATGATAAAATACAGACAAAGCTGAGTAAGTATTGGTATCTGGCTAACTAGAGACAAATGAAATTTATTTTTTACAACCTAAAAAACAGCAGCAGTAACAGACCAAATAAACACAGAATGGATTCAAACTTCAAGCATAGGAAATTTTATAGTTTGGGTCAGGTCAATATGCATGTGAAGACATTGACCAAAGGCAAACATATGTCCTTTCCAATCTTCACAATAGTTTACATTTCATTTCTTTTCAAAAGATGTATACATCTCCCTCTCTATAATTTGTTGCATGGGCAGGAGAATAAATAATAAATGTATGGTATAAAGGAGCAATTGGTATTTTCATTTTACTGTATCTTCTCTACATTAAAACTCTTGTCTTTTGGGGGCTGGGGCGAGTAGTTCCAAATTGTCTCAAATTTCAGTGGCAAATCAAAGAAGTACAGCACAATTTCATCCTTTTCTTAGAACAAAAATGTGAACAACGTATTCTAGGCTTGGGGAATGGTTGTCCCTATATATTAATAAACCAACCCCCCCCCCCCATGACATTTCACAAACTGGCTGCTTTGTTGCAGTGTGCAGTTGAACTGGCAGGGAAGGGATAAAGTCAGCAGTAGCACCCAACTTCCCTGGAAGGAGGCAGCAAATTCCAGAGAAGAAACTAAGTTAAGAGATTGTGCAATCCTGAACTGGATGGGGGAAGGAGGAAAAACTTTAGGATAGCCACACCCTAGAATTCTATTAGCTTTGAAGGTTATAGCCTAAGTCTTGCAAGACTACATTAGATGTAACCATATAAAGAACTGGATTCAATTGGATCTCACTGTGTTGTCTTTGGGCACCAGTAGTTTGAAAAGACACCTTACTTTGACTTACCCTAATTGTGTCTTTTCAAACTACTGCAGATCTAAATGGTGGCAACCACAAGGGTCTAATGGAGCACTCCTGCTGATTGGTACAGATCATTCATGAAACCGTAAGGGTATAACTGTTCTTAGCACTGCCAAGCATTACACACTTATTAGAACAAGGGACAAAATCAACTGACCTAGCTCAAAAGCAGCAGTAACATTTAACATTGGTTTGATCAATAGGTTAAGTAACTGCCATCTTTTGAAATACACTTTGGGACATTGCCCCAATGCAGGGACTGACTGCACCTAGTCAAAACTGATATACTGCACTTCCAACCTTAACCATTTCCAGACCTGCAGTTCTTCAGCAGTTAAGAGTTCTATTATATACTGTTACTTCTTCCCATAAAAAGTTCCAGCAACCAATAACTTCCAGGACTATAGCAGCAAAGATTATCCCTAATTTTGAGAGGTTTTTTTCCCCAGTTTTGGCAGGTGTTGTAATACTTCACAGAATTCCTCAGACTATGGCATTATAGAACTAGAACTCACCCTTGCACAATTCCCTTATAGTTCAAAGAAGTGAAATCTGCACTAACAGGCATAATGCAAAACACCTAATTGTATAATCTTTGCATTTATCAGTGCAGTTACCTAGAAGAAAATGATATCCAGAACAAAATCATTAAGTGTCACAGCCCACAGCCATTATTATACCTTGGGTTCTCTCTATTCTCTTAAACCTACTCCCTAACCCTGAAAAACTTAGTCGATTAATTTAAAGATTGAAACTGAAAATTGGGACATGAAGATACCTTATACCATTCTGCACTTTTAAAATATGCATACCTCTTATTTTTTTAAAAGAGAAGCTGGGGTATAATTTTTATAATCCCTAGCTAGCATGATTAGGCATTCTAGAAATTGGGTAAGCACTATGCAAACTCTAAAAAAGGGGAAGGCATAAAGCATTCGTTCCCTGCCTTTTTAGCTAGATTTATATTTGTGTTTTTTTTTTTTTCAGGTTACTAGAGACTGTCTTAAGTATCATGGTTACTTTTCCTGCTTTGCGTCAAAAATTAGACCAGCCTAGAAAGCTTCCCCGTTTTCCCAGGGATTAGGGCGGGAAAAAGCTAGAAGAAAGCAATGGGAAGGTAAAGGAGGGGGAATATATATTTTTAAAGGAAGCAGACAGGCCTCCTTTCTTTCTCCATCCTCTCTCGGAACAAAGAGAAGCCTATTCCTCGCCTGCAGCCTGCAATTTCATTCGAAGAAAGGCCGCCTACCTGGCAGCTTTGGGGAAAATAAAAAGAGAGACTATGCGTCGCAAAGCCCTTAATCCAGCATTAGCGTTTCTCCCCGGTATCACGCTTCTAAAAGAAGGGGATACACACACGTACACACACGCCGGAATCCTCGTCCACAAGGCTGAAGACGGGGGGCAAAGCGCTTCAGGCCCACCCGCCCAATATAGCCTTGCCGAGCCCCAAACGGTTGAAACATCAAAAGCCCACCCACGAGCCTCGATAGAGCAATAAAGCACCTAACCTACCGCAGTCTCCGCGAACAGCACGAGGGGAAAAAAATGACCGCGTCCAGGGAAAGGAGGTGTGGCACCCTCGGCTACTGCGGAGGGTTTTATACTCTGAGAGCCGGGAAGGGGGCGGGTCCGGCTGCGTAAAGGCGGGGCACGGCAAGAGCTCCGCCTCTCGCGGGTAGCGGCACACGTGGTCCTCTCCCTCGATCGTATCCGAAAGGGGGGACTTTGGAGTGAGAACAAAGGTGGTCGGCGCGTGGTTCTAACACGCAGCGCTTGGAGACTCCATCATTGGCTAGGCGGTGGTTGTGGCTTTTTTGCCCTGCGTTCGGGCCTTTGCTGAGAGATTCAGGTTGCTTGCGAGGATCGACGGTCAGCGATTGAAACGCAGTCCGAACTGTTAAAGAGCTCGATCTTCATTATGCTAACAAAAAGCAATTCGCGGACCCCTCCCCCGAGTTTGTGTTTATAGTTAAGTACGTTTCCCGCTCGCTGTCCCTATATGAAAACCAAATTTCCTTACCTCTACGGCTAACAGGCGGCCAGCCAGCAGGGCAAATTCTAACACTGAGAAAGCTATATGTGGAATAATTGGTTCTTGCGAAAGACACTGGGCAGGTGTTTTTATGGGGGGGCGGTGCGGTGCAGAATAAAAGAATAGTCTTACATGGATGTTACAATGCGTTAGGAAATCCACTGAACGAATAGGCAGTTCTTTCATTGTCTACCGTCATTGCTTCATGCTAAGATATTTTTTTCTTTCTGGTAAGGCTGTACACTCGAGCTTTTAGGGGATGAGGAGGGCATTTCTTAAAGCAACAATGCATCCCGTGTCTCGATTCCAGTTTTGATCTCACTTGAATCTCCAGCTAAGGTGGAAATTCACAAAACGGGCTCAAGATTCCGAAAGCCAAAGGCTCCGCCAAACGGAACAGATAATTGGGATGGGCCAAATTAAACAACAGTCTGTTTCATACTTTCATTAACGACAGGCATAAGCTCTGGAGGTAGAACTGCATTAAAGTACTCCGAAGCGTTACTCACAGCATACCACCTGGGACTTTTAATGAACGTCTTGCCTTTCCCTATTCTTAATTTGGAGATCCCACAGCCTTTCGACCAACGCTCAAACTGAGCAGCGAACCATCTCGTTTCACGAACTACTCTTCCCAGAAGACCTTGCACTCCTTGCACTTCCCGTTCTTATGTCCTCGGCCGGGGGAGTTTCCAGCGAGCGCGCGAATATGGACCTCGGCAAATTCGAGCGGGACAATTCGGTGAATTGCTTGTTGGCCTCGGCGGTGCCTCCTGTTTGCCGGACTGAGCCCTGTAGTTTGGGCATCGATGAGGCAGGCAGAGGACCAGTGCTGGGTATGGATTCAAATGTATGAGGGAAAACTAGAGTCTTTTGGGGTACTGGCCCAAAACCATCGTCCGGGATGAATCTTGTAACTCGCCAGATTGTATGGATTTCTAGGTAGTCTAATTTTACCTGTTGGTGTGAAGCTAACTTAAATATTGCAGTGTCATCTTGTAGATATAGTCAGTGGTGAAATCCAATTTTTTTACTACCAGTTCTGTGGGCGTGGCTTGGTGGGTGTGGTGTGGCTTGGTGGGCGTGGCAGGGGAAGGATATTGCAAAATCTCCATTCCCATCCCACTCCTAGGGGAAGGATATTGCAAAATCTCCATTCCTACCCCGCTCTGGGGCCAGCCAGATGTGGTTTTTGCCAGTTCTCCGAACTACTCAAAATTTCCACTACCGGTTCTCCAGAACCTGCTGGATTTCACCCCTGGACATAGTACATAATTAATGCAGTCTTCATTTGCAACCCTTTTTCTCATTTTGTGCCAATATGCTTCTGATCCTTAAATCCACATATATCCTCAATGCTACTTTTACTTCACATTCTTCATCTCCGAGAGCTTGAACGAATGCAATGTAATTAAAGTTTATTGCAAGAGAATGTCACAGAGGGTCTCCTACTGCAGAAATAGTGTTGTAGCTTAAGTACTGTCAAAGCAGGTTTTCAAGCCATTTCATTTGTTTTGTTTAGTTGTCTTACAAGGATGTTAGCTAATTTTATACTTTTTGTAGAGAGGTCATAGTAACTGAGACTGAATAACCTTTTTTGATTTTTGGTTTTTTTTCCAGGTCCCATGGTCTACGGAATCTGTTACTGCCCTGTGTCTCGGCAAGGAGACCTAGAGACTTTGAAAGTAGCAGGTAAAAGGAGTGTCACACAAAGGAGGTTGTGATTGTACTTCAGTAATATGCAACTGTATCACAGAACAAAGGGTCTGTACAAAAAGGAAAACAAAAATACTCTATTTTTATTAGGGAGTAAGGTAGGGAAATAATGTTTATTTCTTCCATGCCACATCACCTGAAAACGATCTTTTTCCACTTGTTTTCAGATTCTAAAACTCTGACAGAAACTCAACGGGAAGAACTCTTTGAGAAAATAGATGCTGCTAAGGAATATGTAGGATGGGCCCTACACATCCTCTCCCCCAATTTCATCTCAACTAGTATGCAGAGGCGGTGAGTGCAGTAGAGACAAGGCACTCTCTCTATTAGGTGGATTAAATCATAGGTTTTAAAAGATGCCACACATTTCTCTAAAATTATTCCTCTGCCTGGCCTATCCCTCACTGGAATTGGAACACATGTGTCCTATGGATCTAATTCTAATGTGTCACTATATATAACATATATATAGCTGGAGAGTTGGTTGAATTATTATTAACCATCCAAAATGGTGTGGCTGTAGTAATTTTTTTAAAAAATCCAAATTGAGCAAATTAGACACATTATATATCCATATTTTTAATGTCACCCAAAGTTACAAAACAGTTCATTTCTTTGTTTCATTGATTGTAGCATACAATGCTACAATCTAGAATGGCCTATTTCTAATTATTTTTATTTGCCCAGAATGAGAATCATTAATTTATATTTGAATATGAATATTGCAGCGTCACATCTGATTTTATCCTCACAACAACAATCCATTTAAGTAGACTTAAAAATGACATCTCTCATCACCCTGGCAGCCGAATTAACAGGTGGGGATTAGAATTTAGGTCCCTCTTATCTTAATTAGAATTCTTAATGACAAATCACATTATCTAGTTAATTTCAGTTTCTATCCATCTCTTTTCTGATAAGCTTCATAGTCAATTGTCCTCATCAGTCAATGCGATTTCCTTTTCCTTGCAGGATGAAGTACAACTTGAATGCACTATCCCACGATACAGCCATTGGCCTAATCCAGTATGCACTAGATTCTGGAGTGCAACTTGCAGAGGTGAACTAGTTTAGTGCCCTAGACTGCCAGGAAGTAGCCATAAATCCTCCCCTTTCCCTCCCCCTTAAATCCTTCATGGGTCTTTTTGTTTTCAGGTTTTTGTAGACACAGTGGGACCAGCAGAGAAATATCAAGAAAAACTAAAGCAGCACTTTCCTGAGCTGGAGGTTACAGTGAAGGCCAAGGCAGACTCTCTCTTCCCTACTGTAAGCGCAGCCAGCATCTGTGCTAAGGTGAATGCGAAATTCCTTTGTCTCCAATTCCATGTATGTTATGTTATCTGGCGAGATGCGCAGATTGGCCCATCAGCTCAATTACCATCAGCTTTTCTTAATTTAGGCAAAAATTTGTCCATTATTGAAGAAAGAATGCTAAATTATATGGACTTTTCATATGGTGCAGGAAGTCAGTCCCTGTGTTCTTATCTCTTACAATCTCTAGGTAGCCAGGGACAGGATTGTAAAGAATTGGAAATTCTTGGAAAACCTGGAAGATGCAGAATTGGATTATGGCTCGGGCTATCCCAACGGTAAATTCTAGTTTATTCTTTTAGTTCCATCTCTGTGCATTTGGAGCTGTGCAAAGTGATAGTGATGCTTAGATCAGCTGGCTTTAAAATAAGATTAGATAAGCAGAAAATGTTTGCTTTGTGAAGAGCCTCTAATTCAGGGTGACAGCTGGATGGCCATGCTATTTTTCAGAATACTCCATTCTGTAATATCTTTCTAGTCATCTAAGGCTCTGCACTCAAAAATGGAGGTGATATGAATGCTAGTTGTAGGAGCCACTATGTATTGTTTTCATGCCATGGCCTAATAGGGCTTTATGTTCCTATGCAGGAACACTGAAAAGCAAAGACATTATTTTTGGCATTCCTGAGCTCTCTTTTCCCCCAGTCTTACGTTTGAATCATAATTATAGTTAAATGTTGTTTTTCCCGATGGGATGTCATCATTTATTACTCCATTAGGGTAGATAGTTATGGTGCCAAAACTTCACTGTTGTTCAACTGATGACATAGGTTGCATCTGGCGCAGTGATGGGGTTTCCAACCCCTATGACTAAGGTGAGGTGGTAATGTGAAAGTGGAACTATAACATGTTGCAATTATAGAGGAACGTGGGAAGAAAACAGTTATCCTAACATTTGTTATACACTTTGCCTAATCTCTGCTCCTATAGCGTAAGTAGTGGACTGAAATATATTGTTTGATAAAAGGACTTTGCAGATAATAGGCAAGTCTCTTACCCATCCCTTCTCTCCCCAGATCCCAAGACTAAAGAATGGCTTGCTCAAAACCTGGACCCAATCTTTGGCTATCCACAGTTTGTACGATTTAGCTGGAGCACAGCTCAGCTCATTCTAGAGAGCAAAGCTGTGCCTGTTCATTGGTAAGTGGATGAACAAGCTATGAGATGGGCTGATAGATAAAAGATTCTAATGGAGAGTTAAGGAGAATTTAAATAACTTACTATACACTGCTGCTACTATATATTGTAATGTGTCAGAAGTTTCATTCTTGTAGTTTCATTCTTGCAGGAAACACACTTTATCAAAGGCAGCAGTTGGATTGGGGAGTTTATTATTTATTTATTAGATTCTTATCCTGCTTTTATTACTTTATAAATAACTCAAGGTGGCAAGCATACTTAATACTCCCCTCCTATTTTCTCCACAACAACAACCCAGTGAGGTAGTTTGACTGAGAGAGTGTGACTGGTCCAAAGTCACCCAGCTGGCTTTTGTGCCTTAAAGTGGGACTAGAACTCAACACTCCCCTAGTTTCTAGGCCAGGACCTTAATCACTACAACTGATGGAGAACAGGAAGTGCATGACATACTGGTATTGATTGGACATCAAGTAAGTAGGGATGAGTTGAATTTGGATGACTAAAAGAGAGTAGGTGAAGAGTTTGTGTTTCTATTTGAATAGTAGGTATGTGTGGAGGATTAAATAGAAAGAATGTGGGTTGTATTTGATCTGAATAGGTCAGCTTCCTATTTGCAGAATTTATTCCTCAAAGTGATTTATCATTTATGAACAAGGTTTTCCTGTTTCCCTTCCCGGTTAGTTCTGCTTATTCCCTGATGCCTTGTTCTCTACGTGATAATATGAATAGATGGGGGATGTTTAAAACACTGCAGGTTTAGGAATTGCTGATCCCAGGGAATAATTAGGATGCCTGTCACTAGTTCTCACAACTCTTGAGAAACCCATCAAGCAGCTCTCCCATTTATTCCCAAGTGTTTTTGTTACCTGCCAACTCAGAATGACTTTGGCAGTAATGCAAGATGGTACAGGAGCTGGAGATGGAAAAAAATTACTTTCTTTCTAGACCAGGGGTCTGCAACCCCCGGGTCTGGAGCCGCATGTGGCTCTTTCATCCCTCTGCTGCGGCTCCCTGTCACTCAAAACATGTGTCACAACCGCCAATGTACAACACCCACCGGCACGCAATTTATTGAGCTTTTCGACCCATTTTTTTTTCAGAATTCAAAATGTTTTTGTTGCATGCAGAAATAAAAATTTGTTTTTTTCCTGTAGCAGTTCATTGATTACATAAATGCAACACACTATAGTTTTTTTATACATAGCATAAAGGTAAAAAACGTTATATGCAGCATTATCTTCATTTTAGATGTCAAAAGGTTTTTGTGGCTCCCGGTGTTTTCTGTGGGAAACGGGTCTAAATGGCTCTTTGAATGTTTAAGGTTGCCGACCTCTGCCCTAGACAGATGTAGCAGCAACCCAATACTATTTGGGTGCAGGGAAAAGGACTCAATACCGAAACACTTTTTAGCAAGGTCCTAAGAACTAAGATGAGTGTGGGAAAGCAGTGGTCAGTGGTTGCAGCAAGATTCACTGAGTACTGTATGTTTCTCAAACTAACACAGAAGAGCACGATAGTAAAGTAGGCTAGACCTCAATCTTTCATTTCTTCCTATCTTTGCTTCCTTCATCAGGGATGATACTGAAGATGACCCATCCCAGCAGAGTGCAAAGTCCTTGCTGAGCTACTTTACCCGGAAGGTTTCCCCCTCCAAGCGTACACCCCATCGCTTTTTTTATGAACGCAAACTGGAGACAGTCACCAGCTTGTAGATGGTGGCAGGTGATTTTCTTCTTGTTGAAAATTATCTTACGTTGGCTTGACAGAAAGCTGACATCTAGTTTTTAACGGGTAGTCACAAATCCTTTGAGCCATATCTACAAAACAGCATGAAACCCAAAGGTTCAACTGAAAGATACAAAATTAAACAGAAAAGAATCTGGTAAATGTTCTTCCTGAAGGCCCTCCTGTCCCTGTGACTTAATTCCTTTTTAGTTAATAAATTATCAAAAACTGATTGCGAGACTTTTTGTCTGATGTAAATTAATAGGCGCTGATGCCTAATGAAAGCTAATCTAAAGTGACTGAGATGCATGAACACTAGGAAAAGCTGCAAGTGAAAGACCCCACTTTTTAAAAATGACCTCTTAAACAATAAGACAAAAACTCCCTGACTTACCTGAAGGAGAAAATGATTGGTCTACTCTATGCCAATTAACTGCCATTTTGAACCTTAGCATGACATGGGATCCATTTTGTGCTGTTGATCTGGAAGTGAATTTAGTTTATCCTAACACAGTCTCATGAACACAAATAGCTCTTTCAACCCCTGACCTTTCCTAAGAGGAATTAAGAAACAGTGGCCCATCTTCACTTCAAGGATACCACTAAGATTGGGGGGGAAATGTGACACAAAAGAAAATTCAATTTACAATCAGTCAGTAAGCAACCATTTGAAGTTCTGACAGATCCACCAAAAAGGCACTTGCAGATTCAAAGTTTATGGCCGCTGCTCTCCCTCCCCTGGGTCATGTGACCTCAACAACTAGACCACATTTACAGCTGTTAGTATCATTCCAACTGTGATTTAAATGTTTTTGCCAGAAACTTGTTTATTTCCAGTGTCTTGGAAAAATGCCGATAGCAAACAATGGATTCGCTTAACGGTCCTGACAGTCACTTCATGATTGTTGCATTCACTTAATGATTACCACAGAAAAGGTAGTAAGCACTGATGATATTATCTAGTTTGGGTAATGAAACGTCTGCAAGAAAACAAGCAAGCTCAGAGAGCACCAAGGACCCCTCAAAGGTCATAAAAACAGGTGCTGTCACATTTTGACACGTGTAACAATTGGCACAACTTACGATCATAACTTTTTGCTCAATTCCAGTACTAATTTGTATGTATGTATGTATGTATGTATATGCTGGGTTACCTAATGAAATTAATAAAAAAAATACTTTTATTTATGGTAGAAATAAAAATCACACCAAGAAACCCTTCTTAGTTAAGACTTGACTTTTGTATATTTTTTGTCCAGTCTTGATTTTCTTAAAGTGAAGATGACCAAAATGTTTCCGAATAGATCGCCTGACTGTTGGAGATGCCACCATAAACAAGGAACTTTTTACCACATGTGGTGGGCCTGCCCCAAAGCCAGGAAATATTGGCTCAAAGTAAAGACATGGCTGGAAGAAATTACAAAACAAAAAATTGAACTGAAACTGGAATTATTTTTACTGGGTATATTAAGAGGAAATTATAAAATTTGGAATATATGGTATAATTGGTTAGAAGATAGGTTAGAAGAAGCTGCTATATAAGAAATGTGTAATATATATTAAAATGATAAAACACTATATATTTATAATTAGTATATTTTAAAAGTAGACAACTAATGATTATATAATAGAATAGTAATCTTAGAAATTGTTAGATTTCTAAGAAATAACTGACATCGATACTGAAACGCTGTCATGAGTGAAAATGTGATTTTTAAAGTTGAAATATGTCTAATAAAAATTTAATCCAAAAAAAAGTGAAGATGGGCTACTGCTTGGAAAAGATCAAGAATTGAAAGAAGTATTTGTGATCATGAAACTGAAATGAAGTCCCTGTTTGAAATTTCACTTAAATCATAAACTGATTAGCTGACCTTTCAACCCATCTCCAGGCACCATATTTATCCTCTCTACAGGGTTGTTACAGAAGACCCTTAAAGGTAGCATCATTGAAATGTTGCTGTTACTGTTGTTGCTTGGCAATATGACACTGCCTCAGTGTGGGGGAGAGTAAACTTTTGCATATAGCAGGCCTTTATTTTTAATAACGTATTATCTTTCCAGCCCTGTTACTCCTTTGATGTATATAATTTCCATTTTCTCTCCCAAGTTTGCACATGCTCTTCTACTTCAGTTCCTCATCTCTTTCCTCTCTGAAAGCTTGGCATGTTTCTTTCTCTTTTAAGACACCCTGCCCGCTCTTTGAACAAGTTCCTTTCATTTCTCTTCAAGAGCCTCCCAAGATCTGCTTCTGTAGTACCAAGCCTCTTTTGACATAGAAGAATATTAGCGTACTTGCGTTTGACTATCCATCCTCCCTTCTCATCTTTCTAAATTAATTTCCAGGCTTTCCATCTCCTTTCCCTTTCCTAAGAGGCTAAGTCATGTTTGTTGCATCCTCCTTGGCAGTGGTAGAACATGGCCTCTTCAGCAGGACATAACAATCCTATTTCAGGGTTATATAATCCAATCTTGAAAGCTTAGTTTAGTCCATAAATAGATAGCTTGTGGCCTGCAGATGCTGTTCCCAGCAGCTCCAGGTAGCATAGATAATGGTGGGATACAGTGGGAGTTGTAATTCAACAATTTCTGGATGGCCTCCGATTGTTATCAAGTGGAACAAAGGAAAAAAGACAGTTATTTACATTAATATCCTGTGTGTCATTCAAAAAGTGCTTTTACTACAATGCCAATTGCCCAGATGTCAGTATGCCTTCATGCAGGGTGTAACTAGAGTCAGTATATTTTGTCAACTGGTTTATGATATATGAAAAATCAAAAAGGAATATTTGAAATATGGATAGAAATTTTACCACATTTCTGTTTAATTTACCATTTTCCATAATGTCATTACGCATTTAACCAGGTTGGCTGTTTCCCTGGTCAAATCTTACCTGTTTTAGTAACAACCTTTTGGGAGTGTGAAATATACAATTTGTCAAAGAAATGCTAGTTTCCCATAATCCCTTGCACCAGGAGAGTATTGGCAACGTTTCATGATATTACTAATACTCTCTTATCTGGTATATGATAAATTGGGCAGATTCTTCTTTTCAGAGCTGTATACGTGGCTTCTAGAATAATCACTAAGATTCAGCCCCCTATGCTGATTTTTTTTACACATTTCATTATAAAACACAAACACGCACTCCATTTTTTTTATTTCCCACAATATTAATAGGTATGAATCAATCCATAATATGACATTTGTAGTAAGCGTAGCCAAGGTAAACAGGAATGTGAAATATAGCTGATAAATGAAGATGGATGAACAGACAGATGGGTCTATTTTGGGTGTACAATATTACAAGGGAGATTTGACTAGTGTTTAGAGTGGAGAGGATAGTTGGTGGGGAAAGCTCAAGGAGTACTATGTAAAGATGTGAGCGTGACAACTCTTGCCACCACTGATTAAATGTTTTCTGCCTGGCATATGTCTACACTGACCATTTCTGTTTAGATGCTATGTATATTATCCAAGGGGTTTCCTTGACATATGGGTTGTTTATTATGTAATCATGCTCTTTTGCACACACACACTCTCTCTCTCTCTCTCTCTCCACCCCACTCGGATTGGGTTGCTTTGAAAAATAAATTCCATTTTGGATGTAATCCAGTTTAGTAATGCAAGTTAGTCCCCCAGTAACCATTGCTTTCCAGCATAAAAATGCAACAAGAAAGTCAGCCATGCTGGTCTCTAAGCTAACTTTCCCTATTTCCCCTTTTCTTTTTGCGCTCAGGAAGATCCTTCCATTTTACTTGAGTCCTACTTGCAATTGTATTTGAAGCCATGGCAACAACCAAGGCTAACTTTTCCAGCATTGATTGTTTCATTCCACCCCCAACTCCCCCTTGTTCGATCTCTCCCTTACAGATATTTTCCTTCAGCTAATGCCTATGAAGGCTGCTTTCCCTTCAGCTAATGCTCATGAATGGCCTTTTGTGTTCTATGATGACTTCCTTGAGCCAGCTCTTAGGACCCAAAGAATATGGAGAGGGAAATGCTTACTATTCTCTAACACCTTTTCTACTCTGAATATTGGGGGAAATCTTGGTTCTAGGAAAGTTCCCAAGAGGTGCTCTAATCATCTAACCTCTACTGCTAGGGCATAGGGCTCAGAGTCCTGGAAGGTGCCAGATTCACAGTCTACGCCATGAGATGCACAGAGTTGTAGAAGATGGCAGGAAGCTGGTAGTATAGGATGTGACAGAATTGCATAGATCACAAGCGATCCCCCCAAGCCCCAGGCAATCATTGGAGAGGGGGCTTTTTTTCTTCAGGAAGGATGGTTACCTTGGATTAGAATCCACTTCCACTTCCCTCCATGTCTTCCACAAAAATAGAACGCTTCTGCAGATTTCTTCTCAGACGCTGAAGTAAAAGGTTGCCCCTGCAAGGGCTCACACGATCTTTTCTTTCCTTGCCTGCCTTGTTCATGTCTATCTCTTTTAGGCTGTTGCTCTCTTTGAGGTGAGAATAAGAGGTGGAGAAGGCTGTGTCAGAGGCATCCAGCATCAGGCAGTGGCAAGGGTCAGTGCTTACTATGAAAGCATCGTGCCAGATGTTCTCACACAGCTCCTTGCCATCCTTATACATCTAAGGAAAAGGAAAAGGCCCCATGTTACAAAAAAACCTTCCTTGGGAGATACTACTCTTAACCCCATTCAGGTTTGAAAGCAACTGGAATGGATTGTGAAGTTTAGAAAATTAGGAATATGGAAAGTATTGCAGTCTTCCCCCAAAAGGCATGATGCAAAGAACTTGAGCAGTCTAACATGATTTGTTTTCTAAAAATGAGAACCATTGCGATTTAATTTTTTCAGGAAGTCATGTACCTGTTCCTAATGGTGATTGTTCTGTTCCTTGGGTAGAATATAACTGATATTTCTGTATGGGTATACTATGATATGGGACGTGGTGGCTCAGTGGCTAAGACACTGAGCTTGTCGATCAGAAGGTCGGCAGTTCAGCAGTTTGAATCCCTAGTGCCACGTAACGAAGTGAGCTCCCGTTACTTGTCCCAGCTTCTGCCAACCTAGCAGTTCGAAAGCACGTAAAAAATGCAAGTAGAAAAATAGGGACCACTTTGGTGGGAAGGTAACAGCACTCCGTGCGCCTTCGGCGTTTAGTCATGCCAGCCACATGACCACGGAGACGTCTTTGGACAGCGCTGGCTCCTCGGCTTAGAAACGGAGATAAGCACTGCTCCTAGAGACAGAAACTACTAGCACGCATGCAGGGGAACCTTTACCTTTATACTATGATAAGCTTCATAACATTAAAGACATTTCATTTATTAATATTGCACAGATACTTTCATGGGAAAGGAAAGGGTTAAAAGTGGAAGGTGAATCCATAAAATGGCAATTAGCCACTGCCCCTTTCTAACAAAAGTATCTTTCCTATTAGCTTCAAGACAAACTACCATCCTCCTCTTGCCTGCATTTCTATTTCAGTATACAAGTTACATGTTGAAAGAGACAATCCAATCATTTTTAGTGAAGAGATTAGTAATGGACAATTTTCTCTTCTCTCAGTCTCTATATTTCATGGTAAATAACCTTCGTCTATCAATAACTATTCCAGTCCTGTATATTTGTTTATAACCAAAGATTAAACTGTTGCTTTCTAAGTTCCACAATAATTCAAGAAAACAAACACAATTATGGCAAGGAGTTACAGTGATAAGGCAGTTGTTACTGCTATATAAGCTTTAACTTTCAGGTAATTTTAATTTGAATTTGCCACTTTGGAAAAGTTGCAGATTTTTCAGTCACCCATGCCATTAGTAGCAAGCTAATTTTACATAAACTAAGTGTATGTAATAAGAGTTCATGGAGACCATTCGGAAATGCCAGGCTGTGGGAAACTGAAAAAACCTACAGGAAGAAGACATTTACCTATAAACATTTGGCTATATCTGGCATTTTTTCTTCCCATTTCCTATTTCCCTACCCTCTAAGAATACTTTTCTTTGATTTTTTTCCCTTGAATGCTAGAAATCATTCAGATTTGAGAAAAAGCAAGCTTTGATATAAAAGTCACATGAGTTAAAATAAACTCAAATTGTCCTGGGCAAGTGTTATTAACACTGAAAAAACTTTGGATTGGTTTTTAGTGTAATTGATGCCTTTCAGGAAAATGCAGTTCCTGTTTTTCTCCCTACTTTCTACAGTTACTCTTCTCAAACATGCTTCAGTTTTGGAAGCCACAGCCTACGCATCATTTTCAGGCCCTGTACAAACATATGCCATATGTTCCCTCACATAAACATGCTATGATCTCATCCAATGCATACAAATTTTAAAAAACATTTGTCTGAATTCTGAAATTAGGTTTTCTGTATTTCTGAAACTCCTGTATTCCATATGTCAAGATATCTCTACTTTTTACCCCTCCCCCCCATCATCTCTGGAGCAGCAAACTAGTCAGATGAAAGACATTAATCACCAGAAGTGGCTTTAATTGTATGTATGTTTGTTCTGGTCCAATTTTCTCTTTTGCTTTGGCTTTGCCTACTTTTTGGAATGTTGTCTCCAACAAAGTGGCCCTTGGCATAGACACCTTTAGGCTGCAGCAAGCAATACAAGGATGGTTCTGCTCGTGGCAAAGCAGCATTTTAAGTGTCCTCACCTGGCCAAAGGAATGACATTCCTGACTGCAGTTATGTCCATCAGCTCCCCAGGGCCAGTTGCCAAGGCAGGTCAGATCTTCTCTGCAAGCATCGTACCTGAGTAGACAATAGGTTTGAGTGCTAAGAAAGACAGCACATTGGTATTTTTTTAAAGAATAGAGTAGAATTCTTTATTGGCCAAGTGTAATTGGATACACAAGGAATTTGTCTTTGGTATTTGACTCAATACTACTGTAATAGACCCAAATTCTCTCACTGAGACTTATGATAAATTAGAAATTTGAAATAGAAATTCTCCGGAGTAGCCCCCACCCTTTTCAGTTCAGGAGAGGACCTCAGATTTTTATATTCAACCAAAAAAAGCTGACCTTCTCTTTCACTTGCTGGGTTAACTTTTACGCTAGTTGCTGATAGCTTCTCTGTCCTTCTCTGAGAACCCTACCCCACAAATTTATTCATTTTACTTTATCACATTGGCTAACATAATAATAAAAGCAAACGGATAGGAATGTTCTCCAAACAACTTTTGTATTCCCTTGCTACCCAAGTCAAATTTCCAAACCTAAATCATCCCTTTTGCCTGATGTTAATTTTCCAGAAGGGAGTCACTTAATCTTGATAGGGGGAAAAAAAGTTTTTTAAGTTTTAAAAATATAATTTCCCTAATTACTCTTTGAACTCTATTGGTTCAACCCTCTATCGGTTGAACCGATAGAGAATAGGGCACTAGTTTTCTCAAATTTTTAGTAATTTAAAATTTCTATACCAGGCTAGTACATCTGTTTGTTTTGTAGATAGTAACGAAGGCCTTTGCTGCCATCTAGTGCTCATCCAGAGTTTTGCAGCCCAATCACAATAATCTTAAATAACACATCTTTAAATAATGGCCTTAAATATATGTATCTCTTCAGAAATATGGTCTTGTCTTTTCAGATGACAGGTAAAGAATCTTGGTTCTATTTAGCCCAATGTACATATGTATGCTTTCAATTATAGAAAAGAAGACAAAGCTATTTGTTAAGTTTCTCTAGTGTCTTCTACCTTCAACAGGTACTGTACTTAATGCTTCCTCCCTAGCAGGATGGCCTCTTTTTTTTTTTTTTTTAATTTGATTTATATGCCGCCCTTCTCCGGAGACTCAGAGCTGCTTACAATGCGTTAAGCAATAGCCTTCATACCTTTGTATATCTATACAAAGTCAGCTTATTGCCCCCACAAACTGGGTCCTCATTTTACCTACCTTAGAAAGGATGGAAGGCTGAGTCAAACTTGAGCCTGGTGAGATTCGAACTTATAGTAATTGCAGACAGCTGGTGTTAATCACAATGCTTTTAGTCTGCTGAGCCACCAGGCCCTTCTAGATGTGGAGACAAGTGATAACTTACCACTGGTCACAGAAATTCTGACAGAGAGGTACTCCCATCAGGGCTGTGGGTTGTTGAGGATGAAGCCATTGAGCAGCAATGGGGGAGCAGTGGTAAAAACAATCCAATTGCCAAAGGTACTCCTCACACCTGCCAAAATGAGTGAAACAACAGCAAGCATAAATATTGACCCTAAGATGCAAGGGAGAAAAGCAAGGAAGGCATCAGTCGTCCCCCGTCCCCCCCCCCCACTCCCATCTTGGTATTTAGTGATCAGAAAGGCTGGCAGAGGAAAGGTCATGAGACAGAGCCCAGCTCCACAACCTATAGGGGCCCATGGCTGACAAAGGTGGGGTCCCCTTCTTTTCAGAAGAGCAGTCTTGGAGATGACCTGATGCTGAGGCTTCCACAACGATTCCAAGATCCAGCATTAGCTTTAGAAAGTTCCTGGGCAACTTCTGGTGAGCAACAGGCATCTACGGAAAGAAATCTTCTGTCAGCATTTCTATTTCTTTGGAATGAGAGTAGCTATAGTATTAGCCTTCTGCAAACTACCCCTCCGACAATTGCAGTCCAGACCAAGGAAGTCATATGCCAGATGAACACAGTCAAAATCAGGTTATAGCAATACCTATAGCACTTAAACTTACAGTATATATTGCTTCATAGTGCTTTACAGCCCTCTCTAAGGAGTTTACAGAGTCAGCCTATTTCCCCCACCAGTTTGGATCCTCATTTTACCCACCTCAGAAGGATGGAAGGCTGAGTCAACCTTGAGCCTGGTGAAATTTGATCTGCCAAATTGCAGGCAGTCAGCAGAAGTAGCCTGTAGTACTGCATTCTAACCATTGTGCCACTGTGGCTCATAGACTCCCAGCAAGTCAACAGTTATATATATATTTTTTCCCCTTTGACTTATTTTGTTTTCAGGATTTTAATTGCAAGGCCCCCACAGTTGCTTTGGTGTCGGGTGGCCTTGAAATCATCATCATCATCATCCATATTATGGATATTTTATACCCCCTCATCCTACAGTACTCTCATTTTCTCTCCCTGATACATGATTCTACAAGCTTTTATAGAGAATCCATACTTACTTTCTGCATAAATCTGGCAGATACCCAACTCTTCTTCTGCGCTTGGATTGACTTTGTGCTTCCCTCCAGGTAAGCAGTGATCTTCTGTATCCTTTGCATTGGCCCAAAACATGGTCAGTGCCGAAGCCATCAGCATTATCCAATTGGTATTGCCACCACCTCTCATGACTAGAATATCAAGGGCAGAGGAAACGAAAAAACTGAATCGGTGTGAAGAGGCTTGCTTCTCCTCTGTTTTCCAAGCATGCCAGCCAGCCAATCAGGTTATAGGAGACAGCCCCCACACTCCAGGTATATCTTCCCCCAGTATCGCCCTGGATATATTGTACTTTCATCTCTGCCCAACAATTCCCTGAATCTTGCTTCTTTCTTGATAAGCTATGCTGCAATTACATTATTCCTATTGTTCATTGTTTGACATCTGCAGCCGTGGTCCACTCTCATTGCTAGGTAATTCAGGGCAGCCAACTGCAGGCAATTCTACAGCACCCGGATTAGGGCTAGCTGTCATGACAAACACCAGTAGCTCCCTTCTTAAAGAGAAGATATTCTTAAGAAAAATGTGAATGCCTCCATCTTCATGGAAAAATGGAAAAATGTGCAAGCAAATTGCTCATTCATGTAAACAAGCATGAAACTGGGAAGGACATACTTCCAGGAAAGATTTATACGAGGTGGGCAAAGAAAAGAGGGTTGAGGCTTTCGCCATACTTCTGGTGAACATTCTGCAGGAATTTCCAGTGATCACCATGCTGTTGAAAGTGCCAATTGGTTTATGACATGACATAAAAGTCACTGCTGAGGAACTTAACTACATGGGATGCCACAAGCAATGTGTGGAGAGGTGTCCCAGTTATAAATCTGCCCCTGATCCAGAGGGCAATCTGGCCTTGCAATAGTATTTTGCTTAAATGAATACCTTCTTGGTTGCATTTGCTATTGGCTATAAGCCTCACCTTGACAGATAGATTAAATAATGGAGGGAAAGGACAATTTTTACCAGAAGAACCCAAGGAAGGTTGTGATCCATCTGAGGAATAGAATCTTAATATGGAAGTGTTGAAAAGTTGGCCACTTGAGACTACACCTGACATCTCTTTCACTTTTATTTTTCTTGCTTCTTTGGATTGAAAAGTTTTCATTCAGATGCTTAGTAATCATTTCTCCTCCTCCTCTTTGTGGAGTGAAAAAAGAATGAAGGGGAGGTAGTTATGATCAGTCAGAAAGCCTGAAGCTGATGGCGTGATGAAAAAAACAGCTTTGGGACCTGAAGCTGATGGCGTGTCAGTGCAGCGTTGTATCAGCACCGCTAAGCCAGCCTGTCTGTCTCCTGAAGCTCAGCGTGCATTGCCACCTATGGAGACACACATCTTGTGTGTGTCGATTCTGTCTAAGTCTCATCTGTGGAAAGATGTGGGCTTTAATTAATGTTTGCAAAGTGTTCTGATAAGCCTGAAGATAGCATTGCAGTATAATTGGGGGTGGGGGGATGGGCAAGAAGGAAGATATAGGAAGATGATAGCACCAGAGACAGAGAAACAGCAGAGGCATAAGATGTTTAATAGACAATACAAACCCCATCACATCTCAGCTCCTGCTTCCTGATACAGCTTGCACACTCTCTTTCAAATTTGGCTGCTTATTTTTGTTTTATTGCATTTATAAAATATTACCAGTACAACAAAAAATATAAATGCCAAGTTTGATATATTTTAAGGGTAACAGCTACACCCTACGTAATATGCAATTAGAGAAGAAGAAAAAATTTATGGTAATATGTAATTACAAAGAAAATCAGTTTAAACTTTGACGAAATATCCATCCATCCATCCTCCACTGCTGTATGTCAAATGCCAATTTATCTTTCCAGTGTTGCAACTTAGCTCTTTGACAATCCCTGCCCACTGCAAGAAATATTAATCATATGAGCAATCAAGTTCATGAAGTCCAAAGTATTGGGGACTCTATGCATCTTGCACATATAGAAATTGCTTTGTTTTCTAGCATGTTATCTTTTTTCCTGTCCCCTGTGAAATTCCGCACATACTTCCTGCAAGTGCAGGTCCTGAAAAGTAAGGAGCCTTTGTTAAAAATGATAGAAATAAAACCGAAGTCTTCCCCGCTCCCAAGTTATAGATTCCAAACTTCCCCTACAGAGGATTGTCGTTTTCTACAGAAGGGAACATATATTGGTGAACAAAAAACATTTGATCCATAGTTCCTGCAGCTTTTATTGTTGGGTCCTTGAACAAAGTGTGCCAGAGGGTAAAATCTCACTACAGCAGCAACTATTTTCAAGGCAAGGTGTCTCTCTACCCCATCCTTTCTCTTGTGATATCAAATTTTGGTGAGGCAGTCCATGAAATACGAGTCTAGATTTCCAGTTCCCTAGAAACAGAGTCACCTTAAGTATTAAGATGCAGAAAATTGACAAGGAATCTTTGTTTCAAAGCCATGGGTAATGAATAAAATCAGCTTTGTAATGCCTCCTGGCTAAGGTATGTACAAAATGATCTGATTCCCTCATATTAAATTATTGCTTTTTAAATCATGAGTTGATAAATAAATCTAATTGGTTATGTTCAAGCACTATGCTAAGCCAAAATCAGTAAAATTATTTTTTGGTCAGGTTTGCTTATGCTATGAATTCTCAGATATGCTTTTTGATTAAAACACAATATATTGGGTTTACCAAGCACTAAAATAAAAAATCGTGGTTTACAATCTTCAATTTTATTTTTAAATTTTACATGTTACCTTTAAAACCAAGGTTTTTTTCCCTTGGTTTTCCAAAGAGTTGGTTACGATGCTAAGAATAAAATGCTTAATTTTCATCTGCTTAGTTCAAGCAGGATCTATATAATAACATGTCTCCTTTAATGTTACAGAAAATTTAGTGATAGTGAGATACCTGCAGCCAATTAGAAGTTCTAGCATAGCAATTATTGGTACTTTTAGCAGTAATGCTGAAGAACCATGATCACTCTAACAAACTGCAATTCGAACCCATAAAAACAAAAATAAAACATGAATACAGGTAGTACTTGACTTAAAACAGTTCATTTAGTGACCATTCAAAGTTACAAAGGTGCTGAAAGAAGGGACTTATGACCATTTTTCACACTTACAACATTGCAGGATCCCTATAATCACGTGATCAAAATTCAGACACTTGGCAACTGGTTCATATTTATGATGGTTGCAGCATCCCAGGGTCATGTGATCCCGTTTTGAAACCTGATGAGCAAAGTCAATGGGGAAACTAATTCACTTAACAACCATGTTACTAAATTAACAACTGCAGAGTGTCAGGTTTCGATGTCGTCTTAACCTGCACTTCAACCTGCATTTACTCTAGTGCTGACACAGAGGTTCACTTAACAATTGTGGCAAGAAAGGTTGTAAACAGGCAAAACTCACTTAACAAATGTTTCATTTAGCAACATAAATTTTGGGCTCAATTGTGGCTGCAAGTCGAGGACTGCCTGAATATATGTTGTCAGTAGTCTAATTTATCTCATGTTTTGTTAGGGCTCTTGCATTTTAGCATTAAAGACCATGAGAACTGAAAAAAGGATATAGATGCAAAGTATGGGATATTAGTGGTGGCATTGAGAAAGAAGAAACTACGTTGCAGGATATGAAACTGGAGAAACACAGCAGCCTGTGGAGATAAAAACCTAATTTCAACCAAACCCCAACTGATTAGCTGTCTGGGAAATGAGAATGAATTGTGATTCCTGTGGTTTCTCCCAAACTTTCCAGGAGGACAAGATTAATGGGAATGGGAATTGTGTCAAGATCTCAGGGATCGTTTCCTCCCAGATGCATCAATAAAGCTTTGACAGTCAATGAAATGAAAAATGAAAAAAAAAATGGCACTGCTTTGAAAAACCATGGGTGGGAGAACCATCAGTGCAGAATCATCCTATCTGAATTTATTACTCCAAACTTTTGTCACATCTCTGCTTCAGCTGTCATTAATAACCCTGAGCTTCAATGTCAAGCCCTGTCTCATAAATCTTATTTCATAAAATACAAATTACGGGCTGGTTTGATGCTCAAAGTATTTGACAGTGTTTCCCCCTCTTTACTGCAAAAGGTGGCAACTGTCAGCTTTGGAAACCATATTTGGCCAGAAGTTCCAATGCTGCCAACTTCTCCTGTGTGGGAAAGTAAGACGGGGGATTTAGGAGAGGCGGTGAGTAGACATAATAGCATTCTTCCTGTCGGTCAAGGTCAGGGCGATCCAGCATCTGGAGAAGGAGTGGTCAGGGGGCTGAATCTGATGGAACGGATGTTGATTGGGGCATGTGACCGATTGGGTGGAAAAGGGGATGGTTTTGGGAGCTTTGACTTACTGGGGGGAAAACCCGGGCTTTTCAGATTCGGGTTTCCCCAGATGTGCCAATTTGCCTATTCTAGTAAAAGAGAACTTTGGAAAATGTTTGCTTCCGGATCTTTACTTGGAGTTGAAGTTTTTTTCTGGAACGCTGACATTAACCCGAATCTGAAAAGCCCGGGTTTTCCCCCAGTAAGTCAAAGCTCCCAAAACCATCCCCTTTTCCACCCAATCGGTCACATGCCCCAATCAACATCCGTTCCATCTTGGTCCCAGGGGTCTTCATGCAACTGATCAACGAAATTTTGCATGAGCATCTATATCAGGGGGTTCTTGTTTATCTCGATGACATTCTTATATTCAGCGAAAATATGGAAGACCACATCAAATTGGTCAGACAAGTGCTGAGAAAGCTCCTAGCGACCAAATTTTATGCAAAATTGTCCAAATGTGAGTTCCATAAGGAGGCCCTTGACTACCTGGAATACAGGGTGTCGAGTAAGGGGATTGAGATGGACCCAGGGAAGATGAGGGCAGTGCTGGACTGGCAGCCCCCACGCACCCGTAAGAGCTTCCTGGGATTTGCAAACTTTTACAGACAATTCATTCCTTCCTTCGCTGAGGTCGCACTCCCTTTGACAGAATTGTTAAAAACCAGCCCATCTCCCACCAAGCCAAAACCTAGCCAGCCCTTAGCTTGGACAATGGACTGCCAAAAATCCTTTGAACAATTAAAACGCCTTTTTGCGGTGGAGCCAATCCTATAGCATCTTGACCCGAATAAGCTCTTCATGGTACAGGCGGACACAAGTGACGTGGCGGTGGC